AACCGCTCAGATGAGAGAGAAGTGATATTGTTTATCACCATCCCAGTCCTTGCTCTTCCCCTTTTGTTCCCCACTTCCTCACACGCCTCTTTGCTCGCTCTGTGTTCCTTCTGCCTTTACTCATGCCCCACGCTCTCTGTTCAAGCATCCTGTCTGCTCCTCCCTCACGGGCTTTCGCGGTCGAGGAATCAGTAGAAATGGTCTCAGGGCAGGGCGAGTCATGGCTGCCGGTTCTTACAGTTGTGTTAGTCAAAGAGAGATTTCTCTCTAGGTCCCGCTGGCAGATCCTGGCACTGCTCTGGAGCCTGTCCACCTCACTAGGCAGCAAAAAGCACCGTACTCCATTAAAAAATGTCCCCAGCAGCTCAGTGCCTTAAGGAAGAAGCGTGAGGATGATGGTGACTGGCGTATTAATGGGATTTTTCTCTTATGGTTTAGATCCTGGATAGCCTGGGACTGGGTCGCTCAGGACCTCCCATTCCTCCTACTGCTTTTTACTCTGTGATCCACTACCCAGAGAAGCGGACAGTCCCTGCGGTGGGTGAAGCCCTCCAGCACTTCGTCTTTGTTGCACCAGAAGGTGCGACTGCAGAAGAAGAGAAGAAGGATACAGAGAGTCTCGTGGATACCCCTGTCACGCCTGCAGCAAAGGTAGCAGGATGAGGGCCAGACTGGAAGGGGGCAGGGAGGGGCAGTTGAGATGCAGAGGGAGATGAGTAGTGGAAAAATGACCAGGCTGCATGCTTGCCAGGATCCAGGCCAGCATCAACATGGCCTGATTCAACTGGAAGAGCTCAATCTCAATTTTCAGGGAGGACATAGGCCTTGGCGTGACCAGAAACCCCGACGCGTAGCTGCTGGCTGCCCAGTTCGAGGACAGTAGCTGCAGCTTCACAGGGACACAGGCTGGGTGCCCAACTGGCCCAAAACGGCCAGCTGAGTTCCCCCCTTCCCCTCAGCCCTGATGTCACCCTCTGTTTGAGAACAGCAGCTCTGTTTGACACATAGGGCAGTTCTGTAAAGAAGAAGAAACTCACCGAAACCCGCTGTCAGCTTCCCTTTCCAAAACTGCTGTGGTTTAGCTCAGTTTCTCAAAGTCAGCTCACAAAGGTAGGGGTGGATTGGAAAGGGAAGAAAAGCAGAATAACATTCAAATCACTTCAAGAATAATGCACAGGAAGCCCCATAGCTCTGTGCTGAGTTTCCTGGTCAAGGAGAGGTTTCGGGCAAGGAAAGATTTCTCCTAGGCAGAACAAAGTCTGATGAGGAAGAACAAAGAACTGGGCAGGAAACATGAAACCAGTGTGGAGTAGAGCCTGGCTGTTTATTCTCTCCTCTGTTTGTTAACAAACTTGCACCTTCCTCTCCAGGATGGGGCTATTTCGGGGCTGGTGTCACCTCTCTCTCCCACTGTCTTTTCCCCTGTGGTGCTAAGATACCAGAGGAGCAGATCACCCCCCCAAGAGGCAGGGTGAGGAAGGAGAAAGCGGAGGGCAGCCGGGAATCTTCGAGGGATAAGCGCAGCACCGGCCGGGGCAGGAGAGGCCTGCAGGGACCGGCGTCGGCAGTGCCGGCACGTCACCCTGATGCAGACCAAAGCAATGTCAGCAGGGACTCATCCCTGGGGAAAATTGTCAGGTGAGCTATGAGAGCAGAGGGAGGAAATGGTCCCTATGGCTGTCCCGCCTGGGCCGGTCTCCTCAGCTTAGGTGGGGGGCCTCTGCCAGTCCCTCTGCAGTGGGCTGCTCCCGCCAGGCCATTCACTCTGATGCTAGGGCAGCAGGATGAGCAGATGCCTGGGCCAGGGGCTGGTGTGTCTGCAATCCTCCTCCTTAAGAAGGTCTGAAATTTTCTCTTTAAATGGCCAGACTGACCGACTTCCGGTGGATTGTGCCAGCCCATGGGGAGGTTGTCCTGAAGATACATTTCAGCTCCATCATACCAGGACAGTTTGATCAGACGTTTAACTTTGAGATCCTGGGGACACACCGACTGTACCAGCTGTACTGCAGGGGCACGTGCATGTATCCCACCATCAGCCAGGACCCACGGTAAGGCCTGCTTGCTTGCACTGCCTCCTTCAGACAGATCCTCCCAAACTCAGAGGTTGCAGCTCAGCTACCACCTTCCCCACCATGTTGCGTCTCCCTAGAGGCCCTCTGGCCTGCCCATTCCCAGAGACAGGCCCATCTGGTCTGACACCTCACACTGGGGAGGCCGGAAGTGGCAGTTTGGGTAGCGTGTGCTGCCTGAGCAGCCAAGCATCTCTTCCCATGCTTGGAGCTCAGCCAATACTAAGGAACGGGGTTATGGCCTTCTGACCAGGTTTTTGACCTATGTTCATCTCCGTTTTTTTTCTCCCCAGGCTGGTGTTTCCTCACCGGAGGAAGAGCAAGGCACATCATGACATCATCTTCAAGCAGTATGTCATGGACACAGGCGTATTCCACTTTGGGCCACTGCTCTGCGGGAAGTCAAGACACTGGTACGTGCCTCCCCCCAGCCAACTAGTGAGCAGCGCAATGTGCAGCCTGCTCAGAGTGAGCTTTGGGGATTGCCAGGTGGTGGTGGATACGTTTGGAGAGAGGCTGATGCAATGGCAGAATTCGGGGTGGGCCCAGGAAGGGACCTGGGAGATAACAGAGAAGGGCCACAGATATGTAAACTTTAGCAAATAGCAGGTGCACATGTCTTGGAGGAGCTGGGGAGCAATGGAGCTGATATTCCTACCTGGTGGGGTGTCACAGGGACCAGAGCACCATGCTGCAACCTGCAAGGTTTGTTTGGGTCCCAGCTCTCCTTCCAGCCTAATGGTTGGGGCAACTTGTGTCCTCCCTCCATATCTCACTTCCCCACTTAGGAAATGAACCTTATGGTGCTTTTTAAAAGTGTTTTGAGCTCTACTGATAGACTGCAGTAGCAATTATTCTGCTGATGCTGTTATAAACCATTGATTAATCTCTAATATTAGTGAGACTTTATGATTTGGCCTGCCAGTGTGTGTGTGTGACCTGCAGAGGAATAAAAATGAGATTTACATTTTCCTGATCCTCACTACTGGATAAAGTCTGCCTAAAAAAGTTGTCATCGTAGGCTGCTGGCCTATTTCTATTTTTAACTTTTTTAGTATTAGAAGTGACGTTCTTGTCTTCATGGGAGCCCTGGAGAGCTAGTGGTATTTTGACAATCCAAGGAAATGAAATCAAAACCGTTTAAAAACAAAAGAGGATCTTTAGCCAGGCTGATGAATGGACCTGGGCTTCTGTTTGCTTTTTTAACCATTTATCTCCAAATACTATTTTACACTTCAGAAAAGGGGCATTGTTAAATTCAGCAGTCCTCCTGGGAATGCATCCTTTCTTTTTCTTCCCATAAGATTTTGAGAAAACCCTTGAAACATAAGGGAATCTCATTTCTTTTCTGAAGCAGAAAAGCTAAACTATTTTTAAAACCTCTTTTCAAAAGCATTTCTTTATACCCTGCAGAGAAGGAAACCAAACAAGGAGAAGGAGAAAAAACCCCATGTGCCTGACTTATTTTTATTTTCCAGTCAACTCTGAATTTGTATTTTGCAAAACGCTCTTTCTTTAAGTGGCCTGTGTCACGCTTCTGAGATAAATGCACCTGGTAATGGTACAGACATTGAAGTAAAGGAAGAGGGTGCAGCACACAGAGACAGCACAATGTGCCCCCCCAAAGTGCTTCTTTTTTTTAGCCTGCTTGTTAGACCAGGGTCTTCCTGGTGAGGCTATTCAGAGCAGCCTCCTGCTGACAAGACATGGTGCTTGCCTTGATATGTGGGGAAGGCAACGGTCCCAGGGTCCCTGTTGCAGCCCTTTCTCCTCTTGCGGGCAGCTACAAGGCGCTTTGCTATCCTGCTAACTGTGAGAAGATAACCATCCTCAACATCACCCCCTTGGAAGCGGAAGTGCATTTCTTCTTGGAGCACGATGCCAATGCAGACACGTTCCTCTTCGAGCCTCCCAGGATGACGCTGAAACCTAATGAGAAGCAGGTAGGAGAAAGCAGATAAGGCGGGCTGCAGGAGCTCAGCCCGGCAGCTGTTCCTCCTGCTCACTGAATGCATTTCTCTATTTCTTTTTGGGGGGCTGGACCAGGAGCTGACCATTTGGGCATACCCCACTTCCGCTGGCATCGTGGAAGACAACCTTGTCTGCTGCATTAAGGACAACCCTAAGCCGGTGGTCTTCCGCCTCTGCTGCCACGGAGTGCGGCTGGAGCTGGGAGTCAACTGCAAACAGCTGCATTTTGACAAGCTGCTTCTGCACAGGTCACATGGGCCACTGTGCCTGGGATGACAGCTGTCAGCCAGCTCCTCTTTAGCTTCTCTTGCTGCCTGTGCGGCCGCTTGGGTTGGAGGCTGCACTGACATCCCTCCTCCTCCAGCTCTTCCCAGTCCCTTGCTAACCACTCCTCACTGAGGCCTGGATATGCCACGATGGCCCCTGGCTCTGTACCCCCCAGGAACACTCTGGGATGGGCATCCTTGTCCACACCAGAGCTGTGTGTACTCCAAAGCTCACATTAGTTCGCTCCAGCTAGACGAGCTGGAGGAATCTTTCATCCATATGCTCTGATGGGATCTGAGCCACCCTGTCCCACAGCTGCTTCAGAGTCGCTCTGTTTCCCTGGGGAATCGGAGAGCCAGAGCTGAACCAGCAGACAAGATACAACACAGCAACGGGCCGGTTGCTCCTCCTTATCTCCCTTCTGTTGGACACAATTTTAATGCCAAGCTCTCTCCCAGAACCTCACCTCCCAGGCTTGTTATGTGGAAACAGAAGACACTTAACTACTGTGAGGCTGGATGATTTCGTACATGTGATAGGGCTGCCTCTAAGCTGCTTTCAAAGTAACCCTCGAGGAACCAGTGCTGAGCATCTTCTTGTCTCTGCAGGAAGGCCAGCAAGACTCTGGTCCTGCAAAATAGCAACCCGCTGCCTGCGGTCTGGAGGCTTTGTGGGATGGAGAGCCTTGGCGAGGATTTCTCTGTGTCACAAGACCACGGCACCATTGGCCCCTATACGGAGTTTAGTCTGAAGCTACATTTCAAGGCCACGAAGGCTCTCAATGTTAAGAAAACCATCCGACTAGAGGTGAGGTGGATTGTGCCTGCTTATCCACCTTTTTCTAGGGATGGAGGCTCTGTAGTTGAAGGGTCCCCTGCAAACAGGGCGGAGGGATGGGCCTTCAGTGAGATTCCTTTCTTCTTGCATCATCTGAGGGGCCAGACCATTAGCAGCAGGGAACTCTCGCTGAAGGATAGTTTTGTGGAAACTAAGCAACCACAAAGGTGCCCTTGTAGCTGAGCTTCATTAGGTAAGTATACAGTGGAGTCAGGAAGAGATGTACCTGCCAGAAACAAAGGTGCTACCTCCCCAACTTCCACTGCCTCAAAGTGTATTTGCCAGAATATGTCATGCATCCCTTAGCATCCATGCCACCCCGGACAACCAGGTACTAACTCTGCATGGCTCAAGTCTTGATCATGAGGCTGCATCCTGAGCCTTTCTACTGCAGTAGACAGGGCCACTGTGCAAAGCTGAGTGCGGTCTCTTGGTTGTCCAGACTTTGGCACACTCCCTGGCACCCTGCCAGACAACAAGCAGGCAGGTTAACAGAGGCCAGGAACTGCTTCCAGCAGGCTGTGCAGGTGAACACACACAGTTCTAGAGTGGAGGGGGAAAAGAATATAGCCATATGTATGCTTTTTGCCCTTAGGGCTACAATACAGGTTCTGGCCTGTTTTATTTACGGGCTTAGACATAGACTTGGGTCTCCACAGTGGACTCTCCCCACCCATCTCTCGACCCAGGATCAAGGCAAGCCCAGTTTCCCTAGGTTGGGTCAACTGAGGGAAACTGACCGTTGGGTCAACTGTTGGGTTATAAGAGCCATCCAAGAATGGATCCCAATCTCTGAGCCAGGGAAGTCCAAGCCATGGGAACAGCATTTGCTCAGAAGAGAGGGTTGATTATCAATGCCACGTGTTGTGGGACAGTTCCACAACCACGTTTCATGGTTGTTTTCACATCACTTGGACTCTCAGAGTCTTCTCTAGCAGCAAGTTTTCCCTGCTGTAGGGGTGACGAGTTAGGCTGATCACGTTTCGTACTACAGCAGAATCCTGCTGGGTCAGCCCATGAGATCAGCAGCATAGGGAGGCTTGGGAGTCCCCAAGCACTCGCCAAGCATAGGAAACCCAGGGGGAGGCAACTGGCAGAGACAAGGGCTTGCACGTCATCTACTGAAAGATTTTGGGAGAATAGTCTAATCAGTGTTTGTTTCTCACTGCCTCAGGTTTCAGACGCAGAAAACATCTTGGGGATCGTTCAGATTGAAAACATCCAAATCTTTGCGGAGGCCTATGATGTTGCTCTGAACATCACTTTTCCAAAAGGTCAGTGGGTTCCCCAAAACAAAGTAGTCCAGCTGTTTCGCATAACCTTGGTAGGCATGCGACCAAAATGGGGATGGGATAGCGTGCAAGCATGGCAGTAAAGCGTGTCTGGCAAGCTGTGTGGAGTGGGAACGCTGTCAGGGCCTAAAGCAGCCTTGAGTCTCTTGCCTCCTAACTCCAAAGCGTTCAGCATAACGTGCTTTCAAGCTGCCTGTTTAGGAGGTGATTTATTTTGTAAAAAGAAGGCCATGCTGTTTGATTTGGGTCCCTTGAAATGACAGCAGCATGACCAAGTAGTTGGCAACTCCTGAAGGCTCAGAACTGCACATAGAGTTGTTCAATCTGTGCTTGGAAGCAAAGATATGGAAACTGAGCTCCTTAGCTGCTAAGCACTGCAGGTATTCTTTGAGTAAGAGAAAGGACAGCGAAATAACTAGAGATAACTTCCAGGAAGGGAAACTTTCTAAGAAGGGCTTTGTGCCTCTTAAGAACTTCAAATATGAATCTTGTTGCTAGATGTATTCTACAGCAACTCAAATATTCACCCCTTCTTACCTCTCTCTCTGGGATTTTTGCAGTTGCAGATAGTAATCTGGATTTTGGGATCCTTAAAGTCATGGATGAAGCAAAGATAACGCTGAATCTAAAAAACAAAGGGAAGTACGAGATTGCATACAGGTAAGTTACTGTTTCAGTTTCGTGGTCAGTAAATGTATGGTGCCTCCAGGCTTGTGTTCCCCTTGTTCTCATGGCTCAAACCATTTGCATGCTGGCTAGCTCGCAGACAGGGTAAATACAAAATCAGGGCTCTCCGATCTCAAATGTTAACAGCGAATCCAGTCAGATACCAGCAATCTTCACTGTCCAGCAGGAACCAGAAGCAGAGGCATTGAAATTTAAGTCCCCCGCTGCTTTGGTTTCCTTACTTTGAGGGTCTGTTTATTTCTCTTTATGAAATTCTTTGAAGGGCAAAATGGAAAAAAAAATCTGTATCCAAGTAAGCTTACAGCACTTTTCATAGTCTGCAGTCTGTGAAAAGATCTGTGCTGTGATTTCCCCAAGCACAGCTGAACTCTTTTTTTTTTTTTTTTTTAATGGTCCTGTGCTGGTCTCTGCCAGTTCTACTGGCACTGGTACTTTTAAGTGGAGAGGTCTTTACTCCTTCCCTTTCTCCCCAGTTTCAGACTGGAAACTGCGGGTACAAACATACCAGACTTGACCTCACACTTCAGTATCCAGCCACAGAAGGGTGTGCTGACTGCCTCTGAGCGCCCCGCACAGGTCCAGATGGTCTTCCACCCCAAGAGGGAGATAAAAATTGAGGACAAACCTATCCTGCAATGCCAGGTGAGGTACCTGAGGCAGGCTGCTGCTTGCCTTGGGTGTAAGCAGGACATGTGTCTTCTGGAAGGAAGGGTTTAGCTGGGGAATCCAGTGACACCTCACACACACACATGCTCTCTCATACCCACACATGGCAGAGGCTTTTAGGAAATATTTGTGATGCTTCCTAAGCAGAGCTGAAAAGCTAGTTTGGGAAGAAGCATTTGAACAGCTGTGTTTAAATATGGGGGATGTGCTGAAGGGGGCTTGGGGGTGAATTTAGGGGACAGGTGTAGGGGTTCTTCTCTTTGCTCTATTTGCCAACCCCTCCTCCGGTTGCAGCTGATTGAGCCCAATGTCTGTGAAGGAGGAGAGATCATCGCTGTCATCCCAGTGAGGGTGTCAGCAAATGCTCTGTTCACCAAGTACAGCATTTACCCTGCCTCAGTCATCAACTTTGGTGCCATGATGAGCGGCACCAAGAAAAGCTGCACCTTCACACTGGAGAACAAAGGCATCCTCGATTTTAAATTCCTCATCTGCAGAACAATCCGGGATGTGCCTATCTTGCCAAGGAAAGGGTAAGAGAAGCCCTACACCACTCTTTCTGCCCAAAGAGGCATGACAGCGTGGCTGGTGTGCGACAGTATATGATAGGCTGTCAGGGCACCTGGGTTCTTGTCTATTTGTGTTACTGACTTGTGAACAGGGGGCAGTGCCTCAGTCACATCGCCAGGTGTAGGACAAAGCTAATGATCCGGCTGGTCTATCCGTAACCTATAGCAGTAGGTGCTGCAGGCGGCCCTCCTGGGGCCATCAGGAAGATGCATTCAGGAAGGCTTTCCTCAGGCCAGCTTTTGGCCTTGGAGAATGGTGGGGAGAGCCCAGCCTGACAGATATTTCTGCTTTCTCCTCTCAGCACATCTCCAGTGAAATACACCCGCTCCCACGAAAGCGAGACCTCAAGCAAAATCCTTCCCTCTGTCAAGCAAAGCAAGCAAACTGACTCTCTGCAAAAGGACCTGAACCCTGTTACACAGGTGGGTGACTCCAGTTTCCCAACACACGCTGCTGCAGCTGGTGTGGGAGGACTTTGCTATGTCTGGGCTGGGGGCTCATCACCACAGGATGGGACATGGTCCATGTGGCCCAGGCAGTGGCAGCGGGGGGGCCTGAGATCAGGGCTAAAGCCACCATCTCCCACCCACAGGCAGAGGCAAGAGACTGCTCTGTCCCACAAACAAATTCATGCTTTGGCTCAGACCTGGAGCAGGACCAAGAGAGGGAGCCAGGTCCCATGTTTGGTCGATGCCAGGCAAAAGAGGTCCACAAGCACAACAGACACAGAACATCCCTGTCCCTGTTCGCAGTCTGTAGATATGCAATTGCTCTCTCCCTTTCTGTTTTCTTCTCCCTCTTCCTGCTCCCCACTCTCCTGTCATTTCTCACATTCACCAGATTAGTTGTGTCTGCTTTCCTGTTTTACCTCTGGAGGTTGAAGGATCCCAACTGCCTTCCTCACATTTTACACCTAAACCCCCTCCTCTATGCTACTTGGGACAAGCCAGTGCCTCCTCCCAGCTTGTCCATGTCCTGCCTCTGGGCTGTCGAGTCATCTCTCCCTGCCCTGAGATTGGGGGCCTGAGCTCGGCTGGAGGCTGAGGAGTGGCATACTCCCTGCTAGGGATGCTCAAGGGAACGCCATTAGACATTGGCCTCTTTTGGGACTTTTTCTGCAGGCTCGCATCACTTTAGGCATGTTCACGGTGTACCCTGGCTTTGGGTCCATCTCTCCGGGTGGCCATCAGGTGATCACGGTGGATTGCTACGCAGATCCACTGGGGACGTGTGAAGAATACCTGTCCATCGATATCAGTGACAGAGATCCCAAGGACAATCCCCTTGGCATCCCCTATACCCTGGCTGCCGAATCCTGCCTCCCAGGTATGCCTGTACACCCCATCCACAGGTTCTCATGGCCAGACCTGCTGCCGATCTGCATCCAAACTCACTGCTGGGACACAGAGCCACCCCGACCCTAAAGTCCCATCTTAAAATCCACAAGGGCTCCAGATCTCTTCCACTCAGCCAGTGTCTTTCAAAGTGGGGGCACAGTCCCTGTGGGGAGAGGCAAGGAGGGATATGTGGAAGGATGAAAGGAAAGCAATACCCTTGAAGACTGAGGGTGACTGGGCTCCATCCTCACAGCCAACTTCCTCCTCCAGGGTGGGTATTGCAGTGACCTGTGCAGAAAGGGCTGGTCCAGCCTTTTGTGAGGCCAACAGAGTCTCCATCTCAGTCCTCCCTCTGTCTGCTCACAGCGTTCGTGGTTGACGACATAGGGTCCATCTTCGAGGAGCATCGTATCTGCAGCAACATCAACCTTTGCCACATTCTGCAGACTGTGCAAGACAAGGGTGTGTTTGTCACAGACGAGAACACGTTCATCTTCACCAATGTTCTGGTTGGGCACCAGGCCACAGCTCGCTTCAAGATCTGCAATGTGGACAAAATCCCCTGCGACGTGGTCCTTTCCATCAAACCGACCTCCAGTAAGGTAAGAATAAGAGGCCAAGGTGACTGTTCTTTTAAGACCTCATGGTAGCCTGCCTTGTTCTCCAGATTCATTGCTTCACCTTGCCCAGTCTAGGCCAGTTCAGAACAAGAGCACATCATTCCCTTACTGCTGTTCAGAACAGACTTCTGCTTGGGCCAATCCTAAGTTTTGGGGCCTCTCAATTTCCCCTTGGGTAGGTACGCAAGGCAGCAGAGAAGCTGTCATCTCTCATTGAGAAGAGGAGGAGCAAACTGGGACATTCCTGTAGGGGGATGAAGGAATTGTCCCTCTCTCCCACGAGCTCAGAGAGAGAAGAGGAGCCACCACCTCCCGCAGTGGGGGCAATGCCCCAGATGCTTTTGGTGGCAACCCCTAATCTCTCTCCTCTGCTGTCAAATGCTGTGACAGGGTTAAGCCAAAAGTCCAGGGGCCAATCTGGCTACCATCCTTCAGGCATGACTTCTATTGCTAGACAGTGCAGGCAGAACTATAGGGGAGAGCAGCAACCCCAGGGTGACAGTTGGGTTGAATTCAGTGGATCTCAAGCAAGGTTTTGGCTCATCCCTCTGGGTCTGCAGAGGGAGTCCAGAACTGCTCTGTGAATATCCCTTGGTGGTAGCACACTCAGAGCGGGGGCACTACTGTGCTGACCTGCCAAGACTCAAAGCAGGCCATTTCGTGAGACTCTGGCCTTTTCCTTCTCTTTAGAGGACAGTTCTAGATTATTTGCAGGGTTTTCTGTACAGTCCATACCTCCCGTGTATGCTGGAAGGGCTGCTGACATTGCCAGTGCTCAGAGCAAGCAGTTGCACTTCTGGGCTTCATGGCAGCTCCCTGTAAAAGGGCAGCACCACTTTGGGATCACCCTGAGATGAAATTAATGTGTCTTGGGAGCAGGAAGAAGGACGCTGTCCTGGGGCTGTTCCCTATGATGCACATGTGGGTTAGACTGCATCACACTGAAGGGTGTTTCCTCCTAACACTGCTTTGTGGGTTCCCCCAAGCTTAGCACCCACGTGGGCGACGTTTTTAAGGTGGACCCTGTTCGGATGTGCGTGCCCAGTCGCTCCCATGCCTTTGCTACAGTGACCTTCACTCCACAGACAATGCAGAACTACCAGTGCACTTTTGAGGCTTCCCTTGATGTCTTGGCAAGGTAATTCATGCCAGAAAATCCTGGGGTGAACTTTTTGATAGCTCGCTCTCTTTTAGGAGGATGTAGACCTGTCATTAATCCTAACTCTTTTAGTAGGCTTAGATAGAGGACTTAGCATTAGATAATACAGGAAGCAGTAACTACTAGATATAGCATAGCAGAAGAATGAGTCGTAGTTTAGCCTATATGAGTAACTATGAAGACAGCTTAACATTAGGTAGCTAATCAGAAGTTAGTGAATCAGAAAAAAATGGAGTTGTGAAACAGCTGAGTTGGGGCTTTCCGAGGGCAAAGGGTTAGATGAAGCCGCTTCTGTGTCAGGAGGCCAGTATACATTATTTGCACCTTGTTTATATTAAGATGAGAAGATCATATCCAATAGGCTTGGGTGTAAACTTGGGACAATCCTCTGTCTGTTTGTGCAGTGGCTCTAACTGGTTCTTCTCAAACTCATAAATCACTGAATTTAGATAAGATGCATCTAAGTGAAATTTTGACTAAGTGAAATGATTTTTAACTGTTATTTTGAAAGGCACAGTGTCTTCAAAGCAGATTGCTTAAACTCTTGTGCATGACCCTGATTTGACTGGAAGGGGAAGGGAGAGGGGGAGCTGTGCAGTGGGGGGCAGGAGTGCTATTGGGCCAGGCAGGGAAAACACAGTGGGTAGCACTCTCTTCATTGCCTTCCACATGGAAAAGGGGTTAGTGCCAGCTCTAACAATTTCTTCTCTGCCCCTCCCACAGCCCTGTAGTGTTTAAACCACAAAGCCTGACATTCACTATCAGTGGAGATGGGAATCTGCCCCGGGTGACCATCCTGCGCCCAGTCCTTCACAACAAGAGAGGGAACCCTTTGCTCCTCTTTAAGAAGCTGCTGCTAGGTCATTCGGAGAAACTTCCTCTGATCCTTCATAACAGTGGCATCATACCTGTCCAGGTGAGGACCTGCCCAGGGAATGCTTCATCTGATCTGGGAACAAGTCCTTGTCCCATGGAAGAAAGGCCCTGAAGAACGTGGTAGACCTGCACGGACATGTCTTTACACTGTGTGTGCAATTGCACACCAAATGAAATCCTTTCCCTCTAGTTCAGAACCACTCCATCGCAGGACTGTAACTCCCTCCTACTTTCTGGAAAAAGCTTTGGCAAACCAGTGGAAAGGTTTGCACTTCTCACCCAAATCCCTATAGGGCATTTCCATCAGCCTTTCACTGCTTGTCCTGTCTCCTTTTCAGACACTGCTGCCATATTCTCTAGTCTTAATCCACCCTTGGGGTTTTGCGTTGTTATCTTTCCACTCTGTGCCTTAATGAACACTGTGGAAATGGGTCTCAGAAACTCTGTTTAAATAAATCACTGACTTCTACTTTCCAATAATGGTGTTCCCCTTGGAAATGTGATTTTTTTTTTCACCAGTCTGTCCTTTTCAGTTAATAACAACACAAGAAAGTTACAGGGTTTTTTTTCTCTCTCTGTCCTCTCATGTTTTGGTTGTCCTGTGGGAATGTGTTATGTCATAGTTACATTTTATTTGATCACATTTTACTACATTCTAATTAAACTCAGTTGTAAGTTTAATTACGTTCTATTCATTACTTTTTAATACTTTCTGTCCCATTGGATTGTATTTTAATTATGTTCTGTTCCATTGCCTTTGAACACATTTTTCTTTATGTCTGATTTTAGATAAACTTTATGCTAAGAGTTTCTGTTTGAAATGAAGTAGTGTGTTGGGTTCCCAGTGGACCAGCAGCCAGGACATTGTTGATTCATGTGGTGTCCCGTATCCACACCAGTATGGTCATGCTTTGTCTTCCCTTTTCTCAGTTGCTGATAGACCTGTTGGATGAAGAGGGAGTTTTCTTCCTGAAAGCCAGGCCCACCACACACTGCATCTCCCAGGCTCCAGGCACAAAGGAGGGCTCTGCTGGAAAAGGTAAATGCATTAACCATGAAATGTGACTAGGTCATCCAGATGGGGGAGATGTGTGCCCTGGCAAGATGTGTAGGAAAGATGTGTGTTTCAGTTGGGCCAAGCCTCAGCAGCAGCAGCCAAACGTTAGTTTTATGGTTTCTTCCCTGGGGCTCTCTGCATCCCGGATTTCCATGTAGACTCTGCACTGCAGAGAGTTGTGTTGCTCCAGAGTTTCTTCCTAGTGAGTTGCAGGGAGTTTTTCTGTTCTTCTGGACACAGTGGGATGAGTTGTGGGAAAGCCTTGGGGGGCTATAAGCACTTGAATGGGCCATCTGGGTTCATCACTGTGGGGAGGGGGGGGGGGGGTTGCCAGCCTGACTGGAGGCAGCCCTTGAGCCCCCCGCCAGCGTATGG